TCTAAATTGAATGCCTGTTCTTTCTTTTTCCTTTTTCAATTTCTTTTCTTCCATCCCATCACATTCTGACAAGACTTACATATCTGCAGCAGTCCGGCCTTGGCTAATCAGTTCCCCGCTCATCACCATGTCCGCCGGCTTTCCCCGTTCCTCCTCCTCTCCTGCTCATGGAGCGTTTCCGCGGTCAAGCAGTTCCCTCATTGGAGATTGCGACATACTACCCTTCCCCCCTCAATCGCAGCCCACCCCATCTGCCAGGGATTCATTCTCGTCCCGTGGTAGTAAGGTCCCGCCGTTTGAAGATAACTGCCCCTCACCGCCAGTTATATACGCGCTGGAGGTCATTAACTTCAAAGCTGCCTCAAGCCAACAACCCTATGTGTCCTTCGGGCTTGGCCTGGTTGGTACAGACATCGTTCAAAATACAGTCCTCATCGGGCCGGAGACCAGCAGCACCGTGTATCATACTCCTGATGGCTCACCCGTAACTTCGCCAATCCAGATACAGAACCAGGATGATCTGCTCCCCGCAGAGGCAGGGATAGCTTTAACGAAATTACTAGCGCGCATTCCCAATCAAATATTAGGGAGCTCATTATTTGGGAGCCCATGGCATCTTCTCGAAATACAGATGACCAATGACGGAGAGCCCCAATGTGATCTTGTTCCGACCTGGGCTTATCAGCTACTCCTTTCCAGTTTAAAGACGCCCGCTCAGTTAGGGATAAAATTTACTGGGCAGAGGTCTGGGCCGTCTTTCAACGACCGGTCGGAAATTATTTGGGAGAAGAAATTGGGCGATATAGCTTGGGTCGGTATGCTTGAAGGTCACACTGTGTTTATCAAAGCACTTGACCTTGATAACCTACCTGCGGGTGAGGATCTTGACGTCTCAGAGCAGATAGACCATATTTACTCCGAGATGAGAGTTTTAAACAGTCTCCCTCTTCATCCTTACATTGCCCAGGCCCCAATTGGTTACGTTGCGTTGGGGAAACCAGGGACTGCGAGGAGAGTCATCGGATTCATAACAGAGTGCTACAAGTATGGCAAGCTGAGTGAGTATATTTTTAGCGATTCCATATCCCTTTCCTCAATTCTAGGGCGTAAGAGAAGAAGAAAGATATCCTTGCTACAGAAGGCCAAATGGGCTTTGCAAATGACCACCGCTGTCGTAGACCTCCACCGCGTTGCGGGTATGTCACTCGGTGACAGCGGTGTGGGTTTTGGCCTCGAGAGATTCTATGTGGACCAGTACCTTCTACTACGCCTCCGTGGTTTCGGAAAAGGCACCGAACCAAAAATGCTATCCCCCTGGCGCTTCCCACCAGAAAGTCGGGTAAGAGGTGAATGGGAAGTTAGGGAACGCTATAGTCGTCGAAACGGCGTCGTCCAAACCACCCTGAAGTGGCGCCGAAATCATTCCGCTAGAGTCAAGCAGGAGCAACTGGCCCAGGAACGCGAAGAGCTCGACGAGAAAAGATTCCTCAACTCTATCGTCAACACCGACAGCGGTGAACCCCCCTCCTCACTCAACTGCCATCATCGCCGACACCCACCCTCCGCCGAACGCTTCTCCATTACCTCCACCTCCCCAACCCCAACTAACCGGGCAAAAGACGGCCAAGACAACGAGCTCCCAAACATATTTCAAGAATGGAAATCTATCCCCAATGCTTTGGAAGTTGTAGAAACCCATTCGCTCGGCGTCATGCTCTGGATGATGCTTGAGCAGGTCCCCGCCGAGATCCTGGACATCACAGGATGTGCTGAGATTAGATGGTCTGAACAGATGAATATTCCCGATACCTGGCGCAATATGGTTGAGATGTGCGTTCGCGAGCACCCGGGGGAGAGGGTAAGGTTGGATGAGGTTAGGGCATTGTTCACGCAGGAAGTGGGCAGGATGTGGCAGGGTGGGTGGGTTGTTGGTGGGTAGAGGGTCTCTTGGTGGCTAACTGAAGTTTGCGGGTACGATAGGGGGGGGGGAGTTGCTAACGGGGGGCAGATGGATGGGTGCTGTGATGGTGATCTCTAACTGTTAAATTCAGTATTATCCGATCATGTGATATCACTCGCTTTCAATGAAGCGGGATAAATGGATAATTTACAGTCGCTTTTAGGTTATTGTGAACGTATATGCTTGGTGGGGTTTTCCTGTGGGTGTGCCCGATACTGGGAATCGTTAATACATTTCTTTACCGAATTAATACCACTTGCACGATTCACCACGAGAATACCAATCCCTAACCTCAAACCCGCCCTTCAAGTATCGTAGATCCTCTGGCCATAGCGCAGTTCGGTAGTCTAAAGGCCGTCGCTGGTATTTACCATTTGTGACCGAATGACGCTGCCGCAACTGTCACTCGTGCTTGCTCGCCACTTGTCAAAAAAAAAACTCTAGAAACGGATTACATATCCAGCCATACAGTAGATAGATAGAACTGTATTACATAACCCATCGCTACCGTGGCATCCAAGTTACCTAGAAGATGGTATAAGTTGCTGTGCTGGCCAACACATAGCTTGAGAGCTGAAGTTTACCAGATGATTTCCTGTTTTGTCCCTCCGTATCGTATCTCTGAAGCCCGGCACCCGCAGTATCAACGAGGTTCAATATGGCACTTACACGGCACCCAGAGCTCTAACCCAAGTCCTCAACAAAAGACTCTTCTAGAGGCCAGCGACAGGGATATATACTCAAAGCCGTTTTCTCCCCCACACGTGGCTACCTCCGGCCCAAGCAAAATGCGCGTACAGTACTTCCGGACCCGCGGGGGGGGGGGGCGCCCCGGCGTGCAGGTTGTTCCCTGTATAGTCGTGGGAGCGGTGGATTTTCTTCTTCTCTATTCTATTCTATTCGTTGTGCGGTACGTTTGATAAGCACCGGTGTGTGAGAGCAGTGTTAAACCGGTGCCGTGAGATGTGGTGTGTTGACGATGCTGGTCCACTCTATGTAGTGGTGATTCCGCCCGCTCCTTGCCGTTTGTATGGTAGGGTGTGTCAGTGCAGTGATGGCCGAGGGGAAAAAAACGGAAAGGGTCGAGTTCTACATTTGCTATTGTTCTCTCTCTCTCTCTCTGGTGGTCGTTCGGACGGACGGTCTAGGCGTCGACTCGCGATATATATATATCATATATTTAAGGGGCCCCCCGCACTCTGATCTACTTTTTTGTTTGTACTACAGTATGTGATGTCTCTTGCTCTCGCGCAGCTTGTTCTTCCCTCTGGGTTTGTTTGATCGTTTTGGTGGGTGGAATATTAGTGCTTATTCGCTGTGAATCGGAGATTGCGGTACTGTACAGTCAGTCCATCGACTACCGGTTTCGCTTATTTATAATACTTTGTCCTTTATTCATCGTTCAGCATACTTTGTTCGATGGGTGGAAATGGTGATTGATTGAGCAAGACCCGTGATATCATAGGTGGGGTTATCGTTCATGTTAAAAACGCTCGTAAAAAAAGAGTGGTCTTGTGTCCCAGGCGAAACTGCCATCTTGTCAAGACGAAGAGAGAGTGTGTGTGTGTGAGAGGGTGAGAGGGTGAGTGATATTATCACACATTTCTCCCCCCTTGGTTTTTGGAACACCAGAGCGTTAGTGCGCCCTAACTTATATACTGGGGTATCATAATAATAATAATATTATAGTATGATATTATTATCGTGGGCAATATTTTTTATGGTAGACAGCAAAAAATTTTTTGTCGGGCATGAACCGTTCAGGGGTCGACCGGTGGGCACCACCATCGTATTACCACCGCGGCAGGGCGGGCGGACGTGGAAGAGTTTCTGGGTATGATATCATATCAGTTAGGAATTTTCCTACCGGTACATAAGCATGACAGGCCAGGTTGGGTTATCCTTTATCGATCACATCGGCTACTAGTGTTGTCTTCCCCTTTCCCGATGGCGATGTGAGGGAGGTGGGATTGCGTGGTACTGTGCCGTTCAGTATTCGTGATGCGTCGCCTACCATCATGAATTCTCACTCGTGATTGGCTACCACGCCCCCCCCCCAGTTGACTCTCGCAAGGAAGAAGTCGGGGGGCATGATATCCGCTGTTACTTTGTCTCTCGGTATGCGCTTGTAGATCAACTTTCTCGTTCCACGGGTGTCTGTTTCCAGGGTCTTCCTATCAGCGGACCTCTGTTTAGGAAGTTGCAGCTTTTTTTTCCTTTCCTTTTCAGGGTTTAGAATTTTAATTATAATACCGGTCTATCTGGTTTGTGCATATTCTATGGTATCATACTAGCGAAGGTAGTGTTGGAACCTAAGAGTAGAAAAAAAAATCAAATTCTGTTCCCGCAATCTAACTTTACCTTATCCCTTCCGGGCAACCCCCCCCCCCGAGGAACTTGCCCCGACCCTTATTTACCCTCCAGATTTAATACAATACTGCGGCCCCCACGGTGAGATGTAAGCTCGTATGATACGGTAGTATGCTCAAAAGAAGAACCTTGCACACTTTGTCAACATTCTCCCTTCCCCCCCCCCCCATGACCCAACATGGCACTGCCGCCTAAACACCCCTACGAAACAAAGTACTGTCTTCACCCTCGCCCTCATTAAGCTGCCAGGTCCAGACACGTTTATATAAACCAGATATGATAATATTATCATAATTATCTATCCAATTAATCTGTAGGGCCTAGCCATCTTCCCCAGCCCGGCACTTGTCCAGAACGTTCTAGAAGGTGGGGATGGGGTCTAGTGGTAGTTTTGGGGTTTCGGTGGGCTGGGTGATCTTTGCTGTTGCAGCTCGAGATTAGTGGGATGGAGGAATGCATCGGCTGTCACTCGGCCATTTTTTTCAGCCCGGGGGAGGGGAGGGGGTAACGTGGGGCTTTAGCATGGGCCCGTATGTCTGGAATTGTGATATACGTATCATAGGGGGTGGTGCAGGTGGGATTCAGTGTTGTGCGAGCTTGATTGGCAGGGGGGTCACCCCTTTGTACGCTAGAGTACGATACAATTGTATGTCCGACTGGCGGGCGGAAATCAAGAATTACCCCTCGAGCAAGCAATCGATTAAATTATCGTAGAATTAATCGATCAAAGTAGAATTAAGAAAGGGAAAAAAACATAATTAACTTCACTCAGATATAATAGGAACAATAATTAAGGACCAAAACCCGTCTGTCTTATGCCCCAACCTGTTTCCGCCCCCTAAACACTCTAACAATCTTCCTCCACCCCCCAAGAAAGCACCAGGTACTAAAAAACACCACAAACAAGTTAAACACAATGTACGCCCAAAAGATGCCAAGGTCGCGCCAGTGGTGGTCATATTTGATATTGAAACTCGTCGCCTAAACCATCACCCATCCATCATTAGCCTTCCCCCCCCACCCCAAAAGTAGGAAAGGAAAACTCACGAATTCATCCCCATCCCTATACTGGCAAAACTTACACACGCCATTTTCCTCCTCAACATAGCCACCCAAGCGCTGCACGAAGCCAGCCGTGTACTCAGCACAGTCAGCGAAACCGGGGGGCAGGTTGAATCTCGCGAATTCATTCTTTGAGCAGCGCACGGGGATGTCGTGCACTAGCACGCCCAAAAATCCAGAAACCAAGTACTTGAAGGGAGTGACCCAATACACGAAGTGCCAAAAATTTGGAATGGCAGCGAAGGGAACGACGACGCCGCAGTATGCCACGACAAATAGGAAGAACACGGGTACGAATAGCGACGCTAGTAGCTCGTTCGGCGAGAACGCCGCAATGGCTTGGCCAAATGAGACGTAGTAGAGCTCGAATAGCAGCATTAGAAAATAGGTGTACCCGACCGTGAACGAGTCCCTGGGGAAGCCGATGGGGTAGTACCACGCTACAAAGTATAAGGTCCCCGCCACGATGCTGTAGGGGATTTCAACCAGGATGGTGCCGATGACAAAGGCGCTCCAGTGGTATATCTTGCTCGCGTGCTCGCGCGCCTGGAAGAGGTTGCGGAAGTGGAGGAACTTTGGCTGGAGTTGTTGGATCAGCGGTGGGGAGATGGTCAGCGTCATAAAGACGCTGAAGAGGCGGGACTGCATGTCGATGCTCGTGTTTCCCAATTTGTAGAAGGTAAAGCTGTTGAACAGGCCCGTGATGATGTGTAGGGAGAATTTGCCGATCGTGTATTGGGGCGTGCGCCAGTAGTTTACAAATGTCCGCTGCACCACCGCGAGGACTTGGGTGTGCCAGGGCATAGCGAATTCGCGGTTGTCAGCTATTTGGTTCTCCGAAGCCTGGGAGAGGCGGGAGGCTATCAGTTGGTTGATCTCTTCGATACGCGCGGTGTGGTTTGCCGAGTTTGACCAGACTTCGGCCCAGTCTTTTTCCTTGCGGTTGGGGTCTCCGGCGCCGATCGCCTCAAGCATGTACTCCGCTGGGTTCTTGTCCTTGGGACAGCGTGGGGCGCCGTTTGATTCAAAGTATTTTATCATCGTATGCGAATCGTTGCCGAGTGGCCCGTGGTAGACTACCCGGCCGCCGCTCTTTAGGAGGATGAGGTCGTCAAAGTGTTCGAAGAGGACGGCGCTGGGTTGATGGATGGTGCAAAGAATAGCTTGACCGGAGCCGGCGAGTTTGCGGAGGAAGCGGATGACGTTGAAAGCTGCATTAGAATCCAGTCCAGATGTGGGCTATTCGGAATCGAATTAGCACAAGTTGCCGAGTGAGGAGATGTGAGGTGCTTACCTCGTCAAGGAATATTAGCAACTCTGGCTTACTCGCCAATTCAACACCGATGGTCAAGCGCTTCCTCTGCTCTTGATTCAACCCATTCCCTTGGCTGCCAACGGTAGCGCCTGCAATGTCTTCCATCTCCAATAGCTTGATGATAGTCTCGACATATTCATACTTCTCTTCGAGAGGAACTTCCTTCGGCTGTCTCAACAAAGCGGAAAATCTGAGAGCCTCCCTAACAGTGGCTGTAGGCTCATGCACGTCTTGCTGTTCCGCGAATCCAGTGGCACGCTGGAAAGACGTTGGAAGCGGCTTCCCGTCAACCAAAAAGTCGCCCACAACTTTTCCAAAATGGATCCGCTGAGCAAGAGTATTCAAGAGTGTTGTCTTCCCAGCGCCGGATTCACCCATCAGCGCCGTTAGTTTACCAGGTCTGACATATCCACTCACGTCATCCAACAGGGTTTTACGCCCACCCTTAACTGGAATAGTATAAGTCACACCCTGCCATGTAAACACTGATTCGTTCCTGGCAACGCCGGACGTGGATTCTTTGGGATTATGCTCATCACCGGTAACGATCGGGTCCTTTCCACCAGACTCAACATCCTTCTTCTCCATCGCCCTCCTAACCGCCGCCGGCGCTTGTCCCCTTTTAAACACGGTCACAGAAGCCCCCCCGCTATTCGGCTTCTTAAGCTCAAGTCCTACCGCCGTCATGACAACAAAGAACACCCAAAATGCGATAATGAATCCGAAATTCCGCCAAAGATGCGACCGCGAGTAAGAAAATTGCGTCTGGATATAATCCTCCCCACGAACGATCGTGGTCCCGGGCTGGCTTCCTTGCAGTGCACATGACTGATATCGCGGGTCCACGTTGGGACCCACAGGAACTAGCATTGGCGGGACGCACTGTATGTTGAGATTATAGAATTCGTTCGCCATGAGGGCTTCGAAACCGTACTGGATCGGGTTAATCCAACGGAGCCAAGAAAACCAAGGGTGCATTGATGAGGGAGGGATCAGATAGCCGGTGTAGACTATCAGCGCTTGAATGGCGACACCTGTAATGCGGGTGGCTACGTCGAGGCTCGCAGAGAAGGCGCCGATCATGCGGAAGAAGGAGTACATGCTTGCCGTTATGACGAATACAACTAGGAGACTGATGAAGAATTGGGATGCCGTGCGTTGAAGACCTATATACCTTAATAATGCGGTGATATTTATGTGAGGGTTGGAAGAGACATACCAGACATGAAATACACAACTATGTTCCAGATAAAAACCTGAACAAAGCACAATGGTAGGTCCACGACGAACAATGCAATAGCGTAGGCCGACGGACGGTAAAACGAGCTACACTCAAACGTCAGCGTCGCCCACTCTAGTTCCCACTGCGTGGGACTACCGGAAAACACTTACAAACTCTTATGCTTCAACAGAATAGGTATAGAATAAAAGGCAGCCGTAAGTTCCGCAAGCGCAAGTAAAGCATTAAATAACAAAGTAAAAAACAAAATACCACCACGAGGAAACACCCCGTTCGAATCCTGCGGGAGGTTATAGAACAAGCTGCCGACGATCAAGCTCTGGAACAAAACACCCCCCCACTTACCGCCGAGGCTCACGGGGTCGCCAATCATGACCAAGAACTGGCGCTTCGTGCACGCATATACTTGCTTGTGGAACGGGATGGCGTAGTTCTTCGTTCTGGCCTTTTCGGTGGCCAGGCGTCGGCGCTCTTCCTGCTGTGCCACGACGGTGCTTTCGAACCCGGCAATGTCATTTTGCGTGGCGGTGGCGATCTCGGATTGTTGGTAGGCCTGCTCTAACTCTTCCGCGTTGCGGGGGACCTGGTCTTCCCAGCCTTGCTTTACTTGTCGCTCGTGTCTGTCCGTAACACTGGTCAAGAAGTCCGCCGTGGTCCAGCGGGGCGGGCACACGAAGCCCAACCCTTCGAAGTACGCCCTCGCATTCTCCGTAGGGCCGAAATACGCGCATCGCCCTTCGTCGATCAACAACACTTTGTCAAAAAGCTGGTAAAGGCTCTCGCCGGCCTGGTATAGCGCTACGAATGTGGATATGTTTGCCATGTTGCTAAGCGTGCGGAGGGACTCGACGTACTCGATTGCGGTGCTCGCGTCTAGGCCCTTTGTAGAATTATCCCAGCATTGGACGGAGGCCTTCGTGATCATTGCTTCGGCGATTGAGACACGTTTCTTTTCACCGCCGGAGACACCACGGACGATTTCGCCGCCGACTTTGGTATCCAATGTATGCTCGATCCAAAATAGCTTGCTGACTACTCGGAGGAACTCTTTCACGTAGTCTTTTCGAGACTCACCCTCGCGGCGGGACTCTTTGCCTGGGGTACGGGTTTCAAGGGCGAATTTCAGGGTGTCTTTGACAGTTAGGGTTGCGTAGTGAAGGTCTAGGCAGTATGAGTTAGCAGCGTTTAGAGTACGTGAAGTGGGGGGGGAGGGTTCACCATCTTCAGGATTGTACAAAACCTCCCCACGGTACTTCTTCTTCATAGTCTCGCTGTCCGTCCCACCGTACGTGACGTCCCCATTAACCTCTACAAACCCATCCCTCTGGTTCCCAATAACTTTCAAAAACGTCGAGCAACCTATCGCACCAATTAGCCCCCCTACCCTACTTTACAATAAAGCACATCACAACTTATCACTCACCACTCCCGGGTCTCCCCAAAACCAAACACATCTCGCCAGGCCTAACACACCCCGAGAACCCATGAATAAGGGTCCTGATCGCATGCCCACCACCTCCCTCCTTCCTCCCGGAGGAGAGGCCTCTGATCGCCCTCAAGGGCCCGAGAAAGAAATCCCCATTCGTGGGCTGGAGGGCAGCTCCAAGACCCTGTCCTTTAACGACAACATCCTTAAACACAATCCCCAAATGCCGTGCCTTCTCCTGCTGCCTGGAACTGCCGAAGATGGAGGATAGAAGGGCTTCGATCTCGGCATTAGTCTCGGGGTCGTGGTCCTCGACCACGGACGAGAAATTGGTCTTCCGGCGCGACAGGATACGCATTATTTCATCCTCGTTGAGCTGCGAGGTTGTGCGTGCTAGGTTGGTGTTTTGACGATTGGTGAGCACTGGGCGGATGGTTTCTGTGGTCACCAGGGGGTTGGAACTGATGCTTGTGGTTGTGGGGGTTTTCTTTAGCTTATTGTCTGAGGGGGAGGAGGACGAAAAGTCGTTCGCCCGGTGGGGAGGAGTTTCGAGGATGTTATCATTGGCGAGGGTCTTGTCGGAGGACTCATGGCGGGTGGAGGAGAGGAGTTGAGATGGTAATGATTCTTGAGCTGTTCCCGGTGTCGAGGAGGTACCGGTGTTGGGAGTTGGAGCAGCAGCGGTAGTGGATGAATCTCCCCCGATCGACGAGGGACCAGGCGTGGACGGCCACCCACCCGGTCCGGGGATTCCTTCCTCAGTGCGGGAGGGTCTAGCAACGGGTCTGTCCGCCATGGCTAATTAGTAAATCAAGAGAGACTACGTTATCTTTCTTTCTTTCTTCTCTTTCTTGCCCTCCCCCCTCAGTTTGAGTTGCTTGAGAGAGAACCAACTCAGGTGTGGAAAGATATCCAACCCACTACATATAATACCGTGCGCACTTCGGTTGCCCTCCCCCGCTCCACCCGCATCCGACAGACGGAGCACAATTTCTCCGAACCCGGACGCCCCCTTCCTTCCTCCAACGGTTCACTGATCATGCCGGTATAATAGTGCACCATTGCGGTAGTCTACCCAGAAACGACACTTGGGGACTTACTGATCCATTCACTGCACCATCCACCTGAATTGAGTGAAAACGTCATGATAGGATATGGTAGCTCCCTTAAGTTACCCACACCCACACACTCGCCGCACTCCAGCATTACCGGCATATTACAAAGCGATGGGGTCGACAAGTCTTTCAAAGAAAGGGTCGGCCAGGCCGCAACAAGTTAGGTTGGGTGATTAGGTTAACGCCTGGTTGTGTGTGGGTGCACAGCGTCATGGTTTGCCGTTGAGGCTCGTACTTGTATTCCTTACCCCATCATCCCGTATGATATTTGTATGATACTCGAGCACGATCTGATATGAAGACGGGATGGAAGCCCTACCCCCCTATCCCCTCTTATTAAGAGACCGGGAGGAATAAAAACCAGGTCCATCATTGTTCACTTGGAGCCCCGAGAGGTCACGATCGCGGTTAGGATACGGTATTAGACTAGATACGTAGTGACCGTGGTTCATGTTTTTACTTGTCGGGTTTGGCTCCGATAACAATACTGTATCATAGATAATTTACTCGTGTGAGCACTCCTTGACCACCTGCTACTTACCGCCACTCTCCAAGGTCCTATCCATAATTTCGCCATGGCCTAATTTACCCTCAAAGAGGCAATGGGGGAAAGAAGGAGAAAGAAGGAGAAAGGAGGAAAAAGGAGGGAAAAGTGTAATAGGGTTAGGGCTACCAGACTAGGATGTTAGGGCATGGCCCGTAGTCGGAGCGAATACCGACCGACTGACGCGCAAGCATTCAAACCATCGTAAACAAACAAACAATCACTGCTCGAGTAAATTACAGTATACAAGTATATTGTACCTGTATCATACTCGCACTCGAGTACAGTACTCGAGTACCGGTATGGTAGGGTACTAGTATTCAAGGAACGTACATGAATCACTCACTCGCATTACTTGTACGACTACATTATTCATTTCGAAAGTGGAAAGCAATCCCCGCTTAACTCCGTTATCCTACAAGTGCGCCGGCACTCGTAGACTCGTAGACTACTCGTACAGCACCGGTACTGTGCTTGCACCAGGCGGATGGGTGAATGAATGGAAATGGCCAATGAAGTGATCCCTCCCCCCACTGGCCGAAAGCAACCACACTTTTTTCCCGGTCGGAAGATCACCCTTCATGCGTGCCGAGAGGGGAGCGGGGATGTGGGGATTCATAATGGGGCGGGCGGAAATGGGTGATTCGAGGGTTGGGTTAGGACTACGGATAATGATGACTCAAGCTTCTGCTTTTACAGGGTCGTCGTTCGGAATGGTGATATCTCCAATCAACGGTCTCAGTAACTCTGGCACGATCTGCGGATACCGTACTCGGGTAGGGTGGGTAATCAGCAACATGATCGCCACATATGCTCGCTCGTTTTGCTTTGACTGGAACTAACCTTCGAAGCATCACCCTCGAATACCCAGTCAAACGCCTTTTTACCGCCCCGCCAGCCTCCTGCACTGACATCTAAGTCTACTATGGCCACTTTGCCACCGCATTCGCGGACTTTATAGGCGTAGCTAGTCGCAATTAGTGCCCTTGATTGGGGGGGGGGTGGGATATGGACGGGATAAACTAACTCAGCGGCGGGATTAACATTCCCACTTGTCCCAATAACAATGCACGAATCAACTCCACTGTCAATCCACCGGTCGATGCTAACGAGCATGTCCTCATCAAGCACTTCTCCAAACCAGACGACGCCAGGGCGGAGGAGGTTATTGCCTGCATGATGGATAATTTTTAATTAGGCACTACCAATGGTGTGGAAAAGAGGGGGAAGAGGAGGGGAAGCGAACATTTAGGACACTTGGGGATTCTCTCTCTTGGTACTGGTTCTAGAGGTGCACTCTCGTCGTAGGCTAACCTTCCCTCTTTCCCCTCTGGGTTCGCGTTCAGTTCCGGACCGGGAGCGCGTAGCGCAAGACTCTGCTTCGCTAGCGGCACCGCGAGCTCTGGAATAATAGGATCGCGGAAATCCTGCACTCTGTAATCGCAGCTTTCACTAAAGCACTTGACGCCGAAAAGATGTCCATGGAGATAATCGATAGTTTCCGGCGGATGATTCGCACGTGCGGATAAACCTGTGTTATCTCACCGTTAACCCCCACCCGCGTTACGATAAATGTAACTCACCGTCGACATTCTGCGTCAAAGTCCGGAACCCTCCATCACCACCCTTCCTCCTCGCTAGCTCCGCGAGCGCAAAGTGCGCAGCGTTGGGCTTGGCCGCGAGCGCCATATGCCGTCTCATACTGTAGAACTGCCAGACGAGCCCCGGGTCCGCTTCGAATGCCTCGGGCGTCGCGAGCATGGTCGCTTCGTAGTTCCGCCACGTGCCCCCCGCCCCGCGAAAGGTTGGGAGCCCGCTGGCAGCTGAGAGGCCGGCGCCGCAGAGAGCCATTATGCGCCGGCTGGACAGGAGGTGGGCATGGAAGGTTGGGAGGTCCGTTCGGGGGGGCATTTTGGTTTTCTGACCTTGTTCGGGTGGGGGGAGATGAAGGTGGAAGGGGTTTTATGTGGGGGCAGGGAAGAGGGGATGGCTCTTGATTGCGATGGAGTTTTGCGGTGGGGTTGTGTTTTGCTGGGATGTTGGCGTCATACCGGCATACTCGAGTATTGCAAATGGACTCAAACCGGGTTCCAAAAACAACCAAAACCCGATGTCTAGCTAGTTATCATAATAGCAACAGGAAATTTTTGAAGAGAAAAAAAAACCTGTCAGATGAAACTGCTTTTGAGGAGAACAAACTAGTGCCTTTTTTTCTCAATTAAGTATTGCAAGCAAGGGGAGTTGGAAGAGAAAAAGTGAAAATTTTGGTGAACGAAACCAGGGACAGAATATAACTTACCTCGTGTCATGCTGAAAGATACTGTAGGGAGAGGTGTGGGTAAGACATGATGACAAGGGTAAAAAAAAAGTATAAGCACGAGATACGAGAACATTTACCAACTACTTTAACCACAATTCAGAGTTACCATTAACCCACCGGTAGTTGGCTTGGGGTGATCATTTGTGCCGGGGCGGGTACGGTATGATATGCACAGCACTGTGCTCGGGGGGGGGGGAGGCACATTAAAAACGGGAAAGATTTGAGATCTCTGTTGGGTGAGGGTAGCAAATATGCGAAATCGACCCACCAGCAATTGCAGGAGGACTTTGGGACCCCGCTAGGATCCCTCCACCTCATTGTCTACAGGACTACTTGCCCAGGAGAGATTAGACCTCACACTGTTAGATGAGGCCAGCAGCTAATTGCAAAAGCTAGTATTAGGCAACACTTAGTACTTGGTTGAAACAAGCATAGTCTACCGGTAGCAAGTTCCTACCAACTGGCTGGCAGCTTCTTTGGCAGAACTTGCGGGGTACGGCTTGGTGCAGCAGCTTCTCGGTAAACCATTACTGTAGAGACAGCACGTTACTCGTATCACTACTCGTACAGTAGTGGGTTGCATGGGTCAAACTTTTGCTGTCGGCTACTATGAAAAAAGAAAGAAAGAAAGAAAGCACTGGCAGGCATAGGGGGGAGGGGGGTTATTTCAAGATTGGACAGCCTGAGAGAGGGGCTGGGAGGATATTATGTGGTTAGATTAGTGTGCTTATTTTGTTGGAGATGTTTACTCAAGTACTGCACTACTTGGATCACCCAGATTGCAGGGGGGAGCGCGAGGAGGAATGTTTGGTTCCTTAATTTGCGCAACAAATAGTAATCACGGTTTGTGGGACAATTTATCTGGACCGAAAGGGCCCTCGCCTTGCATGGATATACCTAGTTGGGGGCATATTAATGGTTCTACTTATGTGATGAACATTCTTAGCCCCCATGTACGGTATACTCGAGTACCGGTATCCTACTCGCAGTAGAATACTTCCCTTCGCGCAGGTATTTTATTATCATTGTTATTATTATCAATAAGTTATTGCTTAACTGTTTTCTTAGGTATGATACAAAGATAATTAATTTTTGTTATAAAATAAAATAAAGTGACAAAAAATCATCATTGGTGGCCACTTTACACCAAAAATGCCGTCCTTCACAGCGCCAGAACTCAACCGCTTGGAGTGGACGTAAGTCAATTCTTCATGAAATAGTGGTCTTGAGTACTCTAAGACTGATATTTAAATTTTGAAGTGTATAGTGCAATTTTGCCTGAACGGTGGCCAGTGTGAGGTTGGCATTTCTCAGAGCAGGTATATTTTTGTATGAGTGCCCACACCAATTCTTGGTGTTAAGTCCACTGGCAGTTTTGGAACCATTGCCACCAATTGACGAGAACTTCCCACAGAACAGGCAAATTTGTTGTAGCAATTATGATTTCCAGAACCACCATGTCTGAATATCTATTGATATATTTATCATTTTGCTCGATTAGGAGGGGGAAGTGCAAATCGCGAGTTCTTTGACCCCGGATTCCGGCCATTTTGGTTTGTTTGGCCGGTACTGTACATGGGTTCACCGATGATAAATTTTGTCCAAGAACTATATTACACTGATCCTCTCAGTATATTTGCTTCCAGAAAGATAATGTATGTAGCAATGGACACGAGCATTGCCTATCATGCTCGAGTCTAGTCGATTATGGTCGGATTTTTCTCCACTAGAATTGCTTTTCTACGTCAACATGTGATAGAAGATTTAAGGCAGCCCCGTTCGACTCCATTTCCAACTACCAGCACTTTAACTAATAAAGCAATTTTTACTAAACACAATCGCTCCGAGACCTGTGCGCCCGAGCCATTCGCGCTACTCCGTTTCACTTGGAGGGTCCGATACCGTTTCTGACACTAGCCATGGGATTTTGGGGATGATGGAAGTGAGGGCTTTTTGATAAGGTTAATTTCGAAGGGAAATGGGTCGAAGAATTAACAATAGGGAGTTCTCGTTGAGAATGTTTCATCGAGTGTATGGGGTAGACAGTTTTTATACTATTTGATATCACATGATTGCCGAGTCGTGTCATAAATATATGGATAGAGTGATCGATCATGATTTAGTACCATCGACTACTATGATACCGCGGCTTGAGCATGATCTGATAGTGTATCCGTCTCTATCTGCCCACCATCCCCGTTGAGCCTTGTTAATAGGCTTTTTGGCACACCTCACTGCTCTAGGAACCATTATTTAGAAATCATGCGGTGGGCTTAAGATACCGTATAGTATTAAATTTATAGCTAAGCTAGGTGAAGAGTGCCCAAGCTAGAGCTCATTATATTATACTAAGATGAGGGACTATATTAGACGTATATAGCTGGAAAATCCCTGAATTGGTCTAGGAGGAGGTCATAGGGTAATCCCCTCAGCCGCACCACCGCTACAACAGCCCTGTATGCCCACACCGGGGAATGACCTCCCTTTGCGCGCAGCCTATAAATCCACAACGTCCCCCACTAGGGAGATTATCCAAACTTGGTCCTGGACCCATTGGCCTCCTCCCTCCCCCTTGCTATCACTTCCCCCCAATCCAAACAACTCCAGGACATGCTCCCTCCCACATCTCACAACAATATTTAACGGGTCTCACCACCAACATCGCCCAACACCGAAATAATCTGTGGATGCTGTCGGAGTAACTGCGTAATCCTCAGGCGGCGAAATTCCACCGCTAGGTGAAGTGGCGTTTGACCACCGGGTGTGGTTTCGTTGACATGTATGCGCGGATCAAACAGGAGGACGCATACGACTTGCGTATAACCGTTCCTGCAAGCGGTATGAAGGAGCGTTTCTCCCTTTGCGGTGGTGTTGGTGTCCACCTCCGGATGTAAGAGGAGGCGGCGGACGATGACCGCGCTTCCACTGCTTACGGCGGCATGGAGGGGTGTTTCTCCGTGGAGGTTTCTGAGATTGGCGTCCACTCGCCTGTCCTCTAGGAACAAGTTCACGGTTTCCAGATTGCCAGCTTGAGCCGCTATATGAAGTGCGGTATTCCCAGCTGCCGAATCGTCCACTCTGCCCACGTCCACTCGGGGCGAAGACAGTAACAGGCTTACAATCTCAAGATTGGACCTACTGGTCGCAACATGTAGTGCTGTTCGTCCACGGAGGTCCACTATATTCGGCTCAACCCTCGGATTCGAAACCATGGTCCAAATAACGGGGATATGCTCCGACACAACCGCAGCATGTAACCCAGTCCCCCCTTCGTAATCCAGGGTGTTAGCGTCGATGCGCTCGTCCTCAAGCAGACATCGCACAAAAAGATGATTCCCAGCAGCAGCGGCCAAATGCAATGCAGTCCGCCCCAGGTAGTCCTGGACATTCGGGTCAAAAAAGTTAAGAAAGAATCGCACGATAGGAACGCATCCCCGCAGTGCAGCAAAGTGAAGACAATTCTTCCCCGACGCATCCCGAACAATTAAGTCTGCGCCCTCGCCCTGGGCCAGTATCTGCACGATTTCTCCATGCCCCCCCTGCGTGGCGAGTAGGAGGGGAGTCATGGATTTGTAGTCCCTCCAATTAACGTCGACGTCCCCCCCTGTGCGCCAAAATCTTGACGAGATCTACACGCCCAAGCTTCACCGCGAGGCCCAGGACAGTACGTCTCTTGAAGTCTTTTATGTTTGGGTCTAGGCCTGAGTTCAGGAGTGTCTCGAGCACGCCGGCGCTCTGTAATACTGCCGCCTGGTGTAACAGGGTCTCCTTGTCTATAAAGTCTAGGATGCCACGGTCTATCAGGTTCTTTACTGCTACCACGTCCCGCTGCGAGGAGAGTTGGTATAGCAGACGACGACCTTGCTTGCACGAGCGGGAGTGGAAAAGCCTCACCAGGAGGTGTTTCATGAGGAGGTGGCAGATCTGCTTGTTGGTCCGAAGGAGGGCGCATATGTCTTGTGGTGGGAGGTGGTCTGATATGTCCAGGATGAGTTCGTTGTGGAGGGAGAGGAATGTTGGCATGGCTGGCTAGTTAACCACCCTGTTGGAGTTAAGGATGCGAGTGAGGAGTACCGGTTAGATGATGATTGGAGAGGGGGGAACCGGTTTGGGAGAGGGAGCTGTCCATTTTATAGATCAAGAGATGCGGACTTTGTAGACCTGGTGGTAGGGTTAGAAGGTAATGTTGTATTGGGGATTTAGGATGATGGGACTGGTCTTGGGAACATAGAATGGTTTGATATCGTAACTTCTCAAGGGCCTTGAGAAGGAGCTTTTCAAGTTGAAAAGTGCCATCTCGGTGGAGGTGATACGTGACAGGTTCCCACAAGATTATATACCCACTTAGGATATAATGTATTTTCAAGTTGTGAATCACCTATTTCGGCGATTATGAGAAATGATCAGAGCGAATCAAGATGGAATGAGGAAACAGGCAAGACTTCTGGAAGGGCATCATTGATGTAGATATCTCTGCGAAGTATGATAACCCTCAGCGTCCCCGAACCATGCGATGCTCAGGCTATGAAGGGTCATTAATCGATATAGGTCCTGAAGAAGGTTGTATTACAGTTCCCTTGGATATGTGATATCTCGAAAACAAGCGGCTTGTCTTCAACCCCAAATTCTCCTGTGATAATGACAGTA